TAGGACCAGAGTTTAGTAGATCAGTAGATGCTGTGGATCTCTAGGACCAGAGTTTAGTAGATCAGTAGATGCTGTGGATCTCTAGGACCAGAGTTTAGTAGATTAGTAGATACTGTGGATGTCCAGGACCGTGGTTGAGAGATTAGTTAGATTCTCTGGATCTCTGGAACTCAGATTGAGTACTTAGATAGATACTGTGGATCTTCATAACTTTGATTGAGTGATTAGTTAGATTATGTGCATGCCTAAGATCTGGCTTTACTAATTACTTAGACCCAGTTTTAGTAGTTCGGTAGACGGCATGGAGCTTCGGGACCCGGGTTTAGTGATTACTCCAGGACCAGTATGGAGTCTCCAGCCAGAGTATGAGGTGTTGAAATATATCCTGTACTATATCACACCACCGTCTGTTTCCGACTTTTGTGCCCCAGCTGAAGACGTCCCTGGGGAAAGGCCGGGCCTTCATCCGCTACTCGCTGGTGCACCAGCGCCTGGCTGACACCCTTCAGCAATGCTTGATGAATCAGAGGGTCACCAGGTACGCAGATGAAGATGCCAGGGTGGGTTTCCGTCTGCAAGTGAGCCTGTTTGTTGCAGGCCAGGGTCTCTTCCAGCTGGAGGTTTGTGAGTTTAACACAACTGTTATGGGCTGATCTGTGGTTTACGTCGTCACTCCCCCACCCCGATTATATCCGCTTTCAGTGACTGGTACTACGCACGCAGCCCCTTCATGAAGCCCCACCTGAGTGCTGATATCATCAATCACCTGTATGAGCTTAACGACATCCAGTTCGACGTGGCGTCTCGAGGCCATGATCTCGACGCTGCCTGGCCTACCTTCGCCAGGTAACGCTTCGGCTGCCGTTTTGTCGTCTTTCAAAACTGCATCCAACCAAAGCGACAACAGAGGGCGCTAAAGAGATGTTGCTGTGCAACATGAACAAAACCCAAACAGGAGACGTGTACAAATGAAGTCTTAGTCCTAAGGAGAGAATTGTTTAATTGGAATGAGTTGCCTTAAGTAAGGTACTCCGGTTTAACTACTTCATTAAAGCATCTGTCTAACCAGAACACTGAAAAACATGTTGAGTCCATTTTCACAACATATTCTGTAGACCACCAGTGATTTTAATGCTACTTTCCTATGTGCCAAGCAAAATTCCAAGCTAGAGAGTAAATATTATTTAGCAGAGGACCACTAGAGTAAAAAATAATATATGCAGGAAGGGCAAGTGATCTCAGATTCAAAGAGGCTTATTAGATCATCGTCAGATCCCTCTCAGAGTGTCAGTGTCAGAGTCTGTTATCATACTGTAAGTCAAGCAATACTTTTGCAAGCTGTCATACAAATACATGGAACTGTATTTTAAATTGTCAAGTACCCTGCTGTGTTTAAGGCACTGACCACATAAGAGCATTTCAGTGTAATTTGCTCAGCGGCCTTCGATCGGCGACCTAGTGACGCCGACGGCTGATGGCGGATGTGTCCTTGCAGGAGGACCTTGGGCGGCTCACCCGCCCACCTCTGGAGACCCCCCAGCCGCAGCTCCAGCATCAACAGTCTGGTCAGCTCCTACTCTCAGGTAAAGCTCCTCCAAATCGGGACGCCGGGATTCATTACGTTTCCACGTCTGTCCGAATGAGGACGTAAGATCAGTTAATGTCGCTGGAGCAGTTGCAGCAAAGGGCCTTGGTCCGCCTGTTCAGCCACGCTCCATCCCAGTATCCTCATTAAGAACACCAGACCCACACCCTGTTCTCTTGAATGAATCATCCTGTCAGGTTTTGAAGAACAGTCCTCATTAGTCGTTCAGTTTTGTTGTTCACAAGCATGCCCTGCATGCATTGAAGTTGGGGATATTTTGGCTTATCACGACTTATTATGACCACTAGGTGGCACTCGATATTACACAGAGCAGGCTTGTTTCGGTGAAGTGCCTTTTAATCAAGCGTTCTCTGTTGTGTGCCTTTGTATTCCAGCTGTGCTGCGGTGGGAGTCTCTTTCTCTCTTCCTGCCATGAAGTTTCTTAATTACTCAGTTAACATACAGTACTGTACAAAAGTCACAGGCAGTCAAAGGAAATGTTTAAAGCTATTTATAAGTGTATATTTGCTCAGAAAAAAAAGCACAATTTAAAAAAGAGCATATGCAAATTAACTGCAGCATAATAAACACTGACAATATTTTCGTTTGTTCTCCAAAAAATCACTGATATCTTGTTGGATGAGCTCTTCTCAGGGCCACCTGAGCCATTCTATGTGTTTGTGATATTTAAAACTTAATTAGTTAAGTAACTCAGCGATTTATTTATTAACCAGACATGGTTTGCCAGTGGTCTAGTCAGAAAATACATGGTGTATTGGATGGTGCTGCAAATCCTGGGATGATTTTAGGAGAGATTTTGAATTTTTTTCAAAGTTTATAGACGTAATATCATAGTTTTACACCAATATGAAGATCCTTTAAACATCATTTCCTTTGACTGCCTAAGACTTTTTAACAGTACTGTAATCCTTCAGCACTGTTACGGTATCAAGCAGCATAGATTATTAGCCAGAAATGCAGCACAGGCACGGTCCTCAAGAAGAGCCACATCTAACCACATCTGTTCCGCACATCTCTGGCAGGTGCAGGACTTCCCCTCCAGCCCTGACCTGGTCGCAGGTGAGGCAGCCTATGACGCCGTGAGCCCCTGTGCGGCCGATGACCTGCGGCTGCAGCTGGACCAGTCAGAGCTGAGGCAGCGGGAGCTGCTGGGCCGGGTGGTGGAGTTGGGCCAGGAGTCTTCCGAGCTGAGGGCCGTGGTGGAGGCGCTACAGGGTCAGCTGGACACCTCACTGGCTACTCAGGAGGCCGGCCGGAGAGAGCTGGAGGCCCTGAGGGTGGCTGAGAGGCTGAGGGGGGCAACAGAGCATGAGCTGAGGGCCCAGCTGGCCACGGTGGAGCGGAAGAACGCAGAGCTCTTGGCCAAGCTGGACGGTGTGCTGGACGAGAAGAGCCTGCATGCAACCAGCTACCTCGACTCAGCCCAGAAGATCCACGGCCTGCTGGATGAACTCAATCAGGCAGAGAGTGCTAGGCTGGAGGTGTGCCGGGAGGTGGAGATGCAGAGGCAGGAATCACGGCGGCTGGCCGAGGAGATGAGGATAAGAGAGGGGGTGCTGGCCGAAGAACGGGCCAAGGCGGATGGCCTGCAGGGGGCACTGGCGGCAAAGCAGAAGGCGTCTGGCAGCCTGGAAAGGCAACTGGAGGACCTGAAGCACACCCTGGAGGTGACAGTGGTCGAGGCAACAGAAGAGAGGAAAAAAGCCCAGGAGGAGAAGCTGGAACTTCAGCAGAGGTTTGCCAGCCTGAGGGACTCGCTAGAGGGCCAAATTCACACTTACACCCAGCAGCTAAAGGCTAAAGACGAAGAAGCGTCCGTCAGGCTCCAGAAGATCGAACACTTGGAGAAGCAGATGACTCAGCTGGCTGTAGAGAAGCAAGGCCTTGTGGGGAAGCAGGTGGAGCTGCAGGTCACTGTAAAGGACCAGGCTAGGAAGATGGAGGACTACCAGACCAGATGCAGTAGCCTTGAGGAGCTCAACGGCAAGCTGCTGCAGACCAAGAAAGAGCTGACGGAGGCCGGGATGGTCAAGGAGAGCAAGCTGGCTGCCCTGCATGCGTCCGAGAAGCAGCTGAGGAGCCAAATAGATGACGCGGCCATGGCGCTGGATGAGCGGGAGAAAAAGCAGCGTGAGGAGAACCGATGCCTGGATGAGGGCCTTCGCAGGGCCGTCTTGGAGAAGGAGACCGTAGAAGGGGCCGTGAGGGAGCTTGAGCAGGAGAGCCAGCACTTGAAAAAGGAGCTGGAGGCAACAAAAGGGGCACTGTCTTCCACCCGCCAGGAGCTGCGAGCTGCTGAAAGTCGGGTGGTCGATCAGGAGGGCAGCTTGGCGGAATCCCAGAGGACTGAGGCTGGACACCGCAAGCAGCTCCAGGAAGTTGCTGAACGGTTGCAGTTCATGAAGCTCCAGACCCAGGAGCTGGAAGCCAAAATGAAGGAGCTGGCAGAGGAGAAGAAGGATGCAGTTTCCAGCCTGATGCTTGTGGAGGGCCAGCTAGAGCTGAACGTCAAGGAAGTCTCCAGATTGCAGGCAGAGCTCCTGGATTTGCGTGCTGAGCTCCGGGGTGCTGTCGAGGACAAGAGGAGGACCGAAGGTCAGCTGAATGTGGCAGAGACCTCACGGGAAGAGCTTGCGACCCTGCTTGAGAAGCTGAAGGGACAGGAGGAGGAGCTCCGGGGGAGGCAGGTGGAGATGGAGGAGGAGATGAGGGTCATCAGGGATCATGAAACCCAGGTCCAGGCTGAGCTAGTGCCCCTGAGGGAGGAGCTGTCTGCCCTGAAGACTCTCCATGAGAACCTGGTGCTGGAGCGTGCAGAAGCCCAAGAGGGCCTCCACCGGGCCAACACCGAGACTGCCGAGCTGGGCGTCGCTGTCTGCCGCCTGACCTCCGAGAACCAGGAGGCGGCTCGCAGGCTGGAGGAGGTGGCCCGCGAGGCCGAGCGTCTGAGAGCTGGGCTTGCCGCCCTCCGGCAGGAGAACACCAGTCTGTGCGAGGAGCTGGCCCAGTCGCAGAACCTCACGCAGACCGCCCTGGAACTCAAGGAGCAGCTGGAGCAGGCCACCAGCATCCAGGAAGCTGCGCGGGAGGAAGTGAAGGCCTTGAAGTTTCAGATGTCCAGTGAAGCCTTAAACCATCAGAATCAGCTCAAGGTCCATGTTCCAGTCAAACCATCTTCTCTCTGTCTGAAGTTCTTTCTAGCTGTTATTTCTTATAGCTATAGATACATTTTTATAGATATAGATACATTATGTACATTCTCATAGATATAGATACATTCTTACAGATATAGATACATTGTGCACAATCTTATAGCTATAGACACATTCTTATAGATTGATTCTTGTAGATGTAGATACAAATTGTGTACATCCATATAGATATAGATACATTGCATGCATTCTCAAAGTGGACAGTGGAGGCTTAATGGTTAGGGAAGTACACTTGTAATTGAAAGATTACTGGTTCAACTCCCTGAGCAGCAAGACTCTACTGAGGTACCCTGAGCAAGGTACCTCCCCCAAGCACTGCTCCCTGGGCGCTGAATTAGCTGCCCCCTGCTATGTCACGACGTTACATATGGGTTAAATACAAAGGACACATTTCGTTGTTGTGCACTTTGTGCTGTGGTGTGTCAACAATGACCACTGATCTTTAAATCCTGAAGGTATGGATGTGTTGCGTAGAGTGTATTCATACTGTTTTTGGGGTGTTAACCTTAAGCTTTTGTTCATAGGGGATTGGGGATGAAGTGGGGAATCTCAAAGGCCAGCTGACAGCGGGGAGGGAGAAATCGTCTTTGCTGGAGGCCAGAGTCTTACAGCTGGAGGTTTGTGAGTTTGACAGTTGAAGCCAGACTGGCTTGGAAATGTGCATTCGAGCACTGGAGAGATCTGAGGAGCCAGTATGAGAACTTATACTTTTGTAAAGTACTGGGCATTTTACTGAAGCATTTCAAGATTACAGCTTTGGCTGAGTAACACAGCCTCTGGGAATATAGACAGGATGACCATGGTCACTGGGGAATAGGAAGGAGAAAAAGAGAAAGAAAGAAAGAAAGAAAGAGCTCTATGTGACTCAGCATGTGAGACCTCTGTTCCTATGATAGGGAGGTCGCATAGCCATCAGTGGCAGAACAACTGCACACAAGGGGCAAAACACCGATCGGCCCCCCTCCCCCGCGCACACACACACACACACACAGACACATACAGGCGTGCACGCATACTTATATGCGGCGGCGCTGAAAGGTGTTTTAAAGTGTGGGTCATTCTTTAAAGATTTTTTTTTTTTTTAAGAATTTGACTGTCCCTCACAAAAACTATAAAGCATTAAATGCATAAAATACAAAAGGAACAGCTTAGTTTGACTTCAAAACATTGCTATGTATTCTATTTTAAGTTTGTTGTAGGGATTTTACAGGTTTTGTTTTTTTTTTTTTATTAAAAATTACACCATACACCTACCATAATAAGAATGTATACCAAAAATGACAGATATATAAAATCGCAAGTCACAGTTAAAGTGTAAGTAATATTTTCTACCTGTGAAACACTTCGGAAAAATTATAACAATATAACTTTATGTGTATTTAGTATATGGGAGGGTCCTCTTTTGGCTGGGGGGAGGGACCAGGGGCAGTGGGCCGCCTTTAGCTCCGCCCCTTATACCCATGTCTGTTGGGACCTTGACCGAGGCCTTAAACCCCCCCCCCGTTTTGAGCATGCTCTGCATCGGGGCCCCCGTCTGCTCGTGGCTGTCTGTGCATGATGCCATCTTCATTTCCTTCAAGGCCGCAAACAGTGACTGCGCCCATCAGATGGAGGAGAAGATGGAGGACATGGCGAGGAGTGACGCCAAGGTACGACAGGCTGAGGAGGACCTCCAGCAGCTGAGAGGAACGTTGGTTAGGTGAGCTGCCTGCCGATGGCGTTTGAGGCGTCCTGAGCCTCACATGCACGTGTGTTGACCTGAAACTGCCGATGTCCTGCATTGTTCACACTCTGGCAGGACTGAGGAGGAGCTGTCTGTGGCCAGGAAGGGGTGCGAGGAGCTGAAAGGGAAGCTGGACAGGGCTGCAGAAGAGAGACAAGTCCTGGAGATGAAGACCACGGCTGAAATTGAAGACCTGTGCAAGACGAAAAGCACCCTGGAGGAGCGTCTCATTGAGCTGATCAGGTAACGCGTCAGTCAGGGCAACAGAAGCAGTAATGATGGGAATCACAGTGAAACACTGTACCAGCAGAGATCGCGGGGAAAGCCGACAGAACACAGTAACAATAGTCATAGATCAGGAAACACAGTGAGACAGAGTAACAGCAGGGATAATAGGAGAAACAATGTAACGCAATAGCAGGAATGATGGAGAACACAGGGACCGTAACAGGAATACAATGACAGTCATATAAACATAGATCACAGCAAGAAACAATGTGAAACACTGATGGGATAATATGGTTGCAATGAAATAATATCAGCTTAGATCATAACAACAAACATAATGTAACACAATATGAAACAGTAACAACAGAGATAATAACAGGGACACATTGAAGCACGGATATAAACACAGATAATAACAGGCTAGCTAACGTTATATCAGAGATGATGGAAAACACAATGTAGTACAATAATGAGGGGGGATAATAACAGGCAAATACCCTGAATCACAATGGATGAAACAATCTGTAACCAAAGTAAATAGGTAAGCATTTAGTTCTATTCTTGTTTACATCCATATTGGATTTTTTTTTTTTTCGGGGGGGGGGGGGGGGGGGGGGGCGCTTCTTAGGGGGCAATCAAAAAATGCATTTTGCATTATTTCCTGCCTACTGCTTGTCCACAGGGAGTCTTTAGCTTCAGGAAATTGTCTTGCTGTGAAGACATTCTTAGCGCGTCTGAGTCTGTTACATCACATGGCTCCTGGGCTCCACGGCGACGGCCGTGGTGTCCCTTCCCCTGGACCGAGGCTGTGTTCAATGCCTAGGCTTTCATGTCTAAATGCACGGCAGCCGTTCACGTGAGGTTTACCCTCACCCAGCAGGGGACAAGCGCAAAACCCCAGTATGCGATAGACAGATTCGAAAATGCCCGCAAGAATGTACTGATATATTTGTATTTACTTTTAACTGGGTGATGTACAGTATACATTACTTGCAGTTAGTATGTATTACTGTCATTTTAACGGCCCCCTAACCACATGGGTTTGACAGTGGGAGGAGTCCCCAGAGGCAGGCCTTGTAGGCGGACGTGGGGTCGGATTCAGGCCTGCATCCCTGGAGGTGCGAGGCTACCATGTTCTTCCCCGGGATTTCTCTGGGATTTGACCTGCGCAGTGTGTGTCCAGCACTGCCGGGGTTTCCTGTTTGATCCTATTTGAGCTCTTGGAGCCATTTTCCTGCCCCCTCCCGCCGCCCCCCCCCACCCCATAGGGATAAGGATGCCCTGTGGCAGAAGTCCGACGCGCTGGAGTTCGAGCAGAAGCTGCGGGCGGAGGAGCAGTGGTGGCTCGTGGACAAGGAGGCCGACCGCTGCCAGGGCTGCCGAAGCACCTTCACCTGGTGGCTGCGAAGGCACCACTGCAGGTGAGCGCAGAAAACAACGGGGCTTCCCATTGGCTGGACAGCCATCCCTGACGATGCCACTGATTGGCTGGGTGTGGGCTAGTGCCTTTGGCTTAATGATAATAATTGGGTCTCTGATGAGTGATTTTTTTTGGCATGTGATATAGAATGAAATGAGAAACATTATTATGCATTCTTTGTTTTCCAAATTCATATCAAACATTATTAAATGAATAATTTCTTTGTTAGAGTTACTCTTTAAATGTGTTGCACAAGGCCCGACAATCAGTTACCAATTAAATCTTCAATGATTCTTTCATTGAAATCATACTCTATCATTTTAATTTTCATTTCGATTAAAGCTTAGGGTTACTTCCTGTGGGCAGTTTTTGGGGGTATTATATGCCTGATTCTTAGGTTTTACTGTACAGGCATTGGTAGTCAAGAAGGTGTTTGTCCTTTGACATTAAACATGAAAAAAAAAACATAGATGTGTACCGCCCCCTACTGGTCATGCCAGGCTATGCGGGCGCATTTTCTGTTATTACTGCAGCAACAACTTTGCGATGACGAAGCATAGCGGGAAAAAGGAGCGCTGCTGCAGAGAGTGCTACTCGCAGCACTGCGCGGTGGTGGAGCGCCTCACACAGGCCACGGTGGGCAGCAACCAGGACACCCCCACCTCCCCCTGCCCCCCCTCTGCGCTGGGACCCGCCCCCTACACACCCATACCTAGGGTGACAGGTAACAAAAAAACAACAGACAGCTATGTTTTTTTGTGGGGAAAAAAGAAAGTAATTATGTCTTTCCGATGTGGCCATTGTTTGAGTTCACTGAAATCTTTCTGAGTCCCTCTGGATGAAGCAGGAAATTGTATTTGTCTTAAATTTCAAGGGAGCCCAAGGAAGTGTCTTGGTCTCCTGATATGAGCATAATTTCTCCAAGGCAGGACAATTTCAGCATTAGTATGATGTGAGCAAAGAAGATCACGGGTGGGTTATTTATATAAAACTTTGGTGTCGAAGAGAGGTTAAAAGGTGCTGAGCTCAGCAGAGGTGACCGAGGGCAGAGTTATGCCAACATTTTGCCAGAAAGAGACAGGTTCAGCCAAAAGGTTGCAGCTAGAAACTGATTGGGGATCAGACTGATTGCATCTCTTTACCCGAATGGTAGAAATGTTCATATGAGCTTCCTAGTTGTGTAGATGAGGCACATTTTTTAGAATAATCCAACCAGCAACTTGAAAAATTCCAGGAACACCTGCGTGTGTCCCTTGTGATGGACTGGCATCATGTCCAGGGTGTCCTCTGCCCTGTGCTCCCTGGAATAGGCTGCTGGCTCATGGCAGCTCTGTTCTGGATAGCTGGTATGATGGATGGATGGATGGATGGATGGATTCTGATGGGTTTCTTTGTTGGGAATTTCTCTGCTTCACTAAATATTCCAGGAGCCACTCTCATAAATTCTGGGAAGTTCCCTGAGATGCAGTCGGTGGAGATATCGTGGCATATCTCACACCTCCTTCCCATTTCCTTCCCCCCTGCCTCAGTGACAGACCCGAGCCCCCAGTCGGATGACGCCGCCTTCGACATCATCACGGAGGAGGACCTGGACGGGATCTACGACGGCGACTCTGCGTGCCCGTGAGCAGCTCCGCCGAACGCGTCCGTGAACCAGTCGCCGCTTACGGGGACGCGTCACAACCCTGACTGCCGCTTCAGGGGAGGCGGAGTGCAGCGCTGCTGCCATGGAGCGGAGCTCTGCCGCTCTTTCGGAAACATGATGCGGTTTTCCTCTTTTTGTTTTGTTTCGGTTATGCCGTGAATCAGGAGTGACAGCACCGGGGATGCTGCCTCCGAAGACCCTGAGGGTGTGACGCTGGACCGGCAGGATGCAGAGATCCAGCTTCTAAAGTCAGGGGTGCTCACGTGAGTGACTAGGACAGCACAGGGGTCAGCAACTCCGGTCCTGGAGGGCTACTATCCAGCAGGTTTTCTATCCTACCTGGCTTCTGATGAGCCACACCTGCTCCTGGTATTTACCTGAGAACTAGTGTGGCTCATTAGAAGCCGGGTAGGATTGAAAACCTACTGGATAGTAGCTCTCCAGGACCGGAGTTGCTGACCCCTGGGATAACATATCATCACCACGGCGGCCTCCTTGTTGAAACTAAGGCGCACAATGTAATTTGACATACGGTGCTAACATAAAGTTTTGGGACGCTTGCTTAATTCTGCAAAAATGTTGCTAATTCATTGTGTTCGGAACAGAAGTCGGTTGCCACGCAGTGTTTAACATATCTGCGCGTATCTTGCACACAGGCATTTTATTTAGTGTACATTTTTTGACTGAATCATTCAGTTATGATCTTGCCATTTTGCTATTAATTTCAATTGTAGTCATTGGCTGCCAAAGGGATACTAAACACAAATGTTTGGTGTTGAATGTTATTAAAAGGTGTCACTAATTAAAAAGCACCCACTACCCTGCTTGTCAATGAACTTTTTAACTATTTTAGCAGCTCTTTTACAACTGTAATTTGAGTTTATTACTACTTGAAATTAATGTTTAGCTTACAGATCCAGCCACTTAAAATTTCCCCTCCAGTCTGGCTGGCAGCCAAATCCCAGCCAAGTTCCTTCCAATTACCATCCGAAAGGTAGAGCCCCCCTTCTTCTAGGGGTGGGCCTATATTTGACTATAAACCCGCCCATTCATTCACTTGCAGGGTGATACCATTAGATGGCGCTGTCTTTACAAAAACTTTACTTTTCTNAATCTGCAATATGTATACTGAATTTAAGCAAGCCTCCCAAAACTTTCTGTGAGCACTGAAACTAATGTGGTTTAAACTAAACCTTGAACAGAAATGCATCCATAAATACATTGTTGCGACATCATAGCATATGAATTGGCACGCCTAGAAACCCAATCACTGATAGATGTTTCGGCAAGATCTCCTATAGAAAGTCTTGAAAAGCCAAGCTGGGGGCGGGGTGCCTACATTTCCATTTAAAGTCTTTTAAAACAGATTCCAGGGTGAGAATTTGCTGAAGTCAGTGCCTTCCATTACGTCACAAATCTGTCTAGTCCTCTCTTAGCTGTGAGACGTGAAAATGTGAGCGGCCCTTGGGCCTGAAAATATAGCTGTGGCTGTCTCGGGCAGGTCTGCCGTGCCGCTGACGCTCGAGGACGTCTCACACTTCGGTGAAGGACCCCGGGAGCTCTTCATCCGCTCCAGTTGCTACAGTGTGCTGTCCATCACCATGCCCGAGCCAGGACCCACTGTCAGCTGGGTGTTCTCCTCCGAGCCCAAGAGCATCGCCTTCAGCGTGGTGTACCGTGAAGTGGATGATGCTGCACTCGAGCAGGCCAAGGTAAAGCAACAATTCTTCGGAGCCCCAGTCTGGAATCCCTGTGCAAAATTAAACACGACTCCTTTTGAAACACCGAGGCCTCTGTTCTCCTTTTACCAAGTTCTGATGGGCCTATTTTAGCCGAATAAGGTCTATGTGCCTTATGGAAATGGAAAAAAAAAAACATGCCCCGGTTTCCAAAGGCCATCAAGCATCAGGCCTTGACTGAGGAACCTGGGTGAGGATGGACTTCTTAGCATCAAAGATACACTACAGGAGAGCAGTAAGCAGGATTTAGTGGCATTATTAGAAGGCTGTGGCAACCCATATATGCACACAGTTGGGGTCACGGTGATCTGGAGCCGATCCCAGGGAACGGGGGAACATGTCATACTGGGGTCTGTTTGAACCCCGGGCTGGGTATGAACCGGAGAACCTGGAGGAACCTCACACTATCATCACACACAAAGAGCTGCGAGATCTATAATATATAATCAAATGTAATAAAGAATTCTTTTTAGCCTGTCCCTTAGACTTTCAGCCTAGCATTTTTCTGCTGAATGGTGAATTATTATTTTTTTAGGTGGAACACGGCCTCCGTGGTAATCAGTACTGCCAGCTGTTATATGAGTCACTTTCACACTGAATTAGTATGGGCACCTCCTGCACGTGAGGCCAGATTCCCACATGTCTTTAGAGCAGAGGGTTGAAATCTCTCCTTCTCCCTCGGCAGGTTCTGATCCCGTTGACCCGCTGCAACTCCCACCAGGAGACAATTCAGGGCCAGCTGAAAGTTCGGAGGCCAGGGGTCTATACACTACTCTTTGACAATTCCTACTCTAGGTACGCCGTTCCGTTACAGGCAGGAAAGCTTTAGTCGGTATCAGTAACCTATAAGTTCAATTTATTTATCGTCCTTTCTGTTCTGTCGATTATATTTCAACCACGGTTTTCATTTTGTTCGTTTTATTCCTGTTTTTAATTATATTTATGGTATTGTTTTTTTTTTGTAGGTTCATCTCAAAGAATATTTTCTACCATTTGACAGTTGAAAAGCCAGTGATCTATGATGGAAGTGATTCTTAGGAGAGGTGGTCCTGCCCCCAAACTCAGATTCCCCCAGAATTCCCTGGGTGTAGAGTCACTCAGGTCCTCGTGTTCCTCACGGTCTGCGCGATTTTCTCTTGTAGACCCTAACTGCATCACTATGTGGTTCCATTTTACACTCATCTTCTACTTTGAAAAAGCCATAGATGCTTAGAAATGCCATTATGACACCACTCTTTTTGATGGGCTCCTTTGAGTTAAAGCATTTTAAAAATAATAGCCATGGTTATGAAAAAGAAAAAGAAAAAAACATTAAGGGTGCATTTCAGACCAAATGCAGAAGTAAAAATCACCAACGTATATCTTTTTTCAGAACTCTTAGAATGATTGGAAAAAAAAAACTTAAAGAAGCATTATAATCACAAGCAAGTGACTGAGGAACTGAGAGTTTCCAAGAAATTTTAAGAAAACTGAGAAAAGCTTGATGTGCGTTATTTTATCTTATTTTATTTACATTATATTTTTATTACATTTTTTGTTTTGTATATCATTCACAATGTCAGACGTGCATTTTTGGAATTTTGGAGAATTTTAACGAGGATTTTCAGGTCTTAAACAGCATACAGACGACAGGTCAGCAGAAACAAAGTTTTTATGGCGTTTTTTAAGGTCAGACTCAGGGCTGGGAATTAGAGGTATAATAAATAACACTTTCAGTCTTTTTTTTGTACTATAAACAAGCTTCCGGGCTCTTAACACCAGCAAACACAGATAATTGGGTGGAGGGTCACCGTGACAACAATATCGCCATGACAGCCACACTGCTGTGTTAACATCAAAGCATACTGCAGATTTTAATTACTCAGAATGCCAATCTCTGTAAATACACGCTAATAATAACAATGACTAATAACAATAAGCATTGCTACATTTTATTTTAATATATGCGAAGTATTTTGTACAGATATGAAATATCTCTTCCCTTGCCTAGATTTTAGATGGATACAAAATATAACACTAATTTCTGTGCAATACCTGGTTTTACTTCCATCAGAAATCGGTCATTATGTGCTCAAACCCCCACAGGTGTAACAGGTGCAATAGTTACTTGTAGCGATTTACATGCTTTTTGGCCGTAAGTGGAATTATGCAAGGTGTATGTACAGTATATGCACCTTCATGCAGACCAGCCAAACTAAGACTGGGTGCACTGTTTATAAAAAGCACTTTTTAATAAGCATTAACCAAACTGGGGGGGGGGGGCATTTGTAATATATTTTTATTATTCATTTAGCACCTAAACCTTGTCAATGCAGTTTTATTTTCACCCTTTAAGGGGGGGTGGATGAGCACCTCAAAAAGACACACAGTCTTGCTCCACACAACACTAAAATACCCCCGTCAGGCCCCATCGACCGCCGGGACAGAGT